CCTGTGTGTGGAATGAAGGCGACAGGAATCCCAGCCCACCTTGCTGTAGCAAAGCAGGTAAATGAGCTACGCAGAGAAGTAACCAGTCTTCACAAAGAAATAGATGGTCTGAAGACAGAACTGGCAGTAAAATTACCAAACCAAGTCGCGGTGAAAGTGGTTAGTGAACTTCGACAGCATTTTGTAGTTAATGGAGTTGCCCCCGTGTCCTTGCGCGATCTCGACACGAGAATGGGCGATTTACGCTCTATTATGGCCACAGAATTTCGTAGTATTTTGAATGACATGAACTTGACTCATACAACTACCCTCAGCAGTACGTCCAGTGAGCAGCAGCCGGAATGGCAATCGTGGTCATGGAATGACGGTAAGTTGCTACATGCTGTCTCAAAAAACTGGAAATTCCCGGCACGCGCTAACGCCAAAGCGATTTAGAACCTCTGGTTCTTCGGTGATCGCGACTCCAAAATTCGACCATATCGACTCCTAAACAAGCAACATGACATTAGTACGGCGCGTCGAATGAGACACTCGCGAGTAAGCATTTTGATGGAGTACCTGGAGCAGCTCGCACATGAGATCAACGTGCTGCCCACTGGAGTAAGCAGGATTGCGGATCTCCCGATCTCGACTGCCGATGAAGTGTTTGCTGCAGTATTCTCGAGGATGCTCAACAATCTGTATGCCAATAAGCCCAGCAGAGCCGAAGAGCCGTCATGCGGCATACTATACAATCGTCTCTGTCAGTATCGTAAAAAAAATAGCAACGGAGTAAATGCTTCGAACAGCATCTGACAGCGTTTTAGCTGTACCCACTCTAGCTCAACCTCGTGAGGGCACATAGACACAAGGAGCCTGCATTTGAGAGGCGACACCCTCCAGCGAATCTCCAATTTGGCCTTGGTGTCGAGCAGAAAGCACCCCAGCTTAAATCGACACAGCAGCAGCACTTGTGTAGTAGATAGTGTCTTGGTGAATGAGAAGCTGTTTGGTCGACCAATCACAACACGCCATCACATTGTGATCTGATTCCTATCACAAATGCCGTCATTATATACATTATAAAACAAGATTAAAAATCTTTATTCTTCTTCGTTATTGTTATTCTCCTCTGACTCTTCGGGCGGGTAAACTATGAAGTTTTCTTCAGCATCCCGATACCCGTAAGTCACGATGCCCGCATTAATAAAACATAGCACAATTACCTTGGACCTTACCGCTTTCCATACGCTAATTACAATTTCTGTAATTAACGCACGTTGAGCAAAGTCGTTGACAGCATGGTAGTTCACGTAGTAGTTTCTGCATAAACTCTCATCACTGAAACATCCATGGGCTGGGCTAAACCAGTAATCCCAGGAGAAATGAACTCTGCCGCAGTGAATACAAGTAGACTGGTCATTCTTTCTCGGAAAATAAAACGCCAGTCGAATCCCCCCTTAGCTCTGAAAAAAAATTCAGAAAACAAAGCAGATCAATCATATTCAACTAAAGAAACTTGCGAATTCGGTTTGACCACCGAGCTGTACGGATTATTCGCCTGAACGTGAGAGAAAATCTATGTTAAATCAAGAAGAACAATTGTTTTGTCGTAGGTATTATCTGAGCTGAACCAGATGTATCTGCTTATTTTACTATCCCATGATTGCTCGGCGATTCTAGTTTACGGCCTGTAGATTCTATCTCGCACATATTGCGGTTTACAGTGTATAGTCGCAATCTTTCTATTTTTGTGTGCGCAGAACTTATTTTTTCACGCTGTGAGTGTGGTGTTGCAGGCCCGACCACTCTATATCTTGTTAGTATTAGTCTCAGCCAAGCGAAGCCATGCGTCTTCAGGGTATTATGGTGTCTCTTTCGTGGCGACTTCGACAGCAAAATCCCACCTTTGGACAAAAACTGTGTCATTCGTTCGCCGACTCCAATAAACTCCTCGGGCTCCACGAAGATTAAAAAAAGAAGAGACGTTCTTCACTTCCATCACTATGGATTCATTCGCCGAGTCACAACAAACATCCTCTGGAAAACTAAAGCCTTCGCTCAAGGCCAGTTCCACCGACGACATTTTCGTGCCACTGAAACTTAGCGGTGCACCCAACAGCGTTTTAGCCAAGCCGTAGTTGCAAAAGTGGATCGGCTATATGAAGCTCTTCAACAAGGAGAACCCAAAGAAGCAAACAAGTGTGGTTTCGACTATCGCGTCTCGCTTCGAGTACGTTGGTCTTGCTTAGCCATTCAAACAGCCAAGTCAGTTCCAGAGACTGCTAAATTTGCCAAACGACTTGAATTCGAGATGATTGAGCGCTGGTTAACTCACGAAACAAACCGGACGAGATCCTTCAGCTGCTGAAACTTGATGTCGAGAGAGATATTCTGTTTAAACTACCAGAGTCGCGTATCGATTAAACACTGAGCAGTATCGGAACTGGATTAAGGATCAAGTTACTCCAGTGATGGCTTTCGCGCGGCTTGACTTGAGCAACGCTTGTGATAAATTATTTTAAAGTCCGCTACTGGTCAATTGACTCAAGTTCGTAGAGCCGGAAAGAGAAACAGGAGAGTGTAACATCGCTTCTTAAGCAACGCTCTGTCTATGACAAGCTTCACAGCATGCTGGTAGAGGTGTCGGTGGTCCAACTTCAGAAAAGATTGCTTTGAGTTTACTGAAGACGCTAGATGGGCGCAAGCAGAGGTTTGGTAGTATGCACCGGAACCAGTAAAAAATTAAAATTGGTGAGTTATGGCCTGCCCAGGAGCCATTATTATGACTTGTCCGGGGCAGG